GCGGAGCTCCCCCCACGCCCCGAGGGGCTGCAGAGCTCTGCCTCTGTCCTACGGACCTATGGCACAACACAAGCTCCCAGCGGCCAGGATCCGGCCCCACGCCATCCTCCCGGGCCGGATCCCCCCCCGCCGTGGCACACCAAGCTGCTTCGGGCGAGGTCCTTCCAGGCAGGCACCACGCAGCCCCACTCACCTCTGTTGCTCAGGGCTCGGCCCTGAGCCCGCAGGGAAATCGTGGGGTTTCTTTACTGTTTTCCTTTTTTTGCAATTTAATATTTATAGCTTTGCTCCGCTGCCTGTTTGTTCAACAGAAAGCGAGGGGGAAGACGTTTGGAGAAGGGACGGCTTCTTCGAAGGCTGCTGTCAGCATCAGCTGGACAGGACCAGGGCCGGCATCGGTGCCGGGATCGTACCCGTCATTCCTAGTTTTCTCAGCAATGTGCCACCTCCACCTCCAGCCAACGCATGGGTCTCCCTTGAAGGCGAGGAACAGGAACTGGAGCTCATCCTGGCGCGCGGGGCTCGGCCTCCTGCATCCCTGGGCTGACCGTGTCCTGGGACCCTACGTGCATGCAAATCCACAAGGAAAACCCGCTCTGACCAAAAGCCAAGTGCCAGGTGCCAACCCTGCGGTGGGGCACGACCTTGCAATGAAATCAGGGGGAACCATCGGGGCTCTTTCTGGACATACCAGTGGGGGGGGGGGGGGAGAAGATGAGCACGTATTTCCTGTCTGCGTGTGCACAAAGAGATCATCCTTTTCGTCCCTCCAAGCATTACACCACCAGCGCCTTCCCCTGCGTCAGCCACGAGGGCGACAACGACCGCGGCTCACCCCGGGAATCACCGGCTGCAGGGGGGATGCGCCCCGGCTGCCTCTGCACCGGGACTGCACCGTGGCTCGGCAAAGCCCGAGCTGCTGCCTCCCCCGGGCTTGCGGAGGTGATGCCACCGCAGAAAGGCCACCACGGGATGGCCATAGGGCTGAAGCCAGCATGGCACAGCGCGGTGGCAGGTACACGTCACACCTCTGGGCAGCCTCTGCTCTTTTACGGGGCTGTAAAATGCACCCAGCACTGGCTCCTGCAGCTGCAAAGCGCCCTGTAAATCTCCCACAGAAAAGGGGGGGGGGGGGAAGCTGCCACAAAACGGCTGCCACGGGTCAACACCGGTGCCGGCTGTGGCCACGGGATGCCATGATGCTTCCCCAGCGACATGCCAGTGATGCAGTGCCACTGCCAGGCTGCAGCGCCCACGCCAGGGACATCGCTGTGCTGAGTTGACCCTGACAAGTTGCTTCCCCCCCCAGCCCGGTTCCTCTTTGACCAGCGCACAGGATAACCCCACACAGGGCAGTTATGAAATGGCTCCCTTTCAGTGGGTGCAGCTCGAGGTGTGTCCCCCCCCCAAAACCCAAACCACAAACTCCAGCTGCCCCCAGAGATGGAGCCCAGAGGTGACGGGGATGTGCCATGCCCAGCACCGGGAGAGCTCCGTCCCTCCCCACCATCCACCTGCACCCCCCAGGAAAGGAGGGAGAAACAGCGATCCAGGGCTGAGATCCTCCCCGTGCCAACGCAACATCAGGACCCCAGCACACACACACACACCCCCCCAGCACCCCGCAGCACGGGGAGAGCTGCAGGGAGCCAGAAGAGCATTTCTACCCTCAGTACACGTGCTTTTGGGGGGGTGGGTGCCCCCAGCGTGTCCTCCCCAGCCCCATTTCCCTGCAGCAGCTGTTTCTTTCCCCGCAGGGCTGTGCTGCTCGGGCTCCACGGCCACCCCACCCTCAGCCCTGGAAATGTCCCCCCGCTCCGATGATTCATCACTTTGTCGCTCGCGCACACAGGGCTCTTCCCTTTCCCCACAGCACCGCCGAAAACCAGCAAACGGGGAAACCTCGTCACGGCAAAGGCGGTAGCAGGGCAGGGGGGGACCAGGAACACACGTGCCGTAAACTCGGCGCCGTGGAGCGTGGAAAAAGAAATAAAGACCTGGCTGGAATCACAACCTCCATCCCAAACACCCGGATGCTGGAGTCGCCCCGTTGCTGCCAGCCCCACCCCGGAGCGGTTTCCTACTGATAAGGGCGGGAGGGAAAG